GTTTTTTTCATAATTCAACAGAATCGGCCAATCCAATTACTTCATCCGACACTTTACAAATTTCAACATACAGTCGATTTATTAAACAAACTTTAATTACTCTAGTAACTAATGTCTAGCTATATATTGTACTACCTCCATTCTTAAATAAATGCAACACTTTGACTTTTACACTATTCACATGTTCTATTTTGACTACGTTTTATTTATTAATGTAATAATATTATTTTAAGAAAATAATATTGTTAAACTTGTCTCATTGTAAATTTTCATATTCTAATTTTTTTTGAATTTTTTACTAATACAAAATCATTTATATTAATGGTCAAAGTTGTGTCTCGGCAGGTGTGAAATGTTGACCGTTGCATTTATTTAAGAACAGAAGAAGTATATAATAGGATATAATATGCTACTCCCTCCATCCCGGTCATTTCTTCCAGTTTTCCTTTTTGGGTCGTCTCAATTAATTCTTCCAACTTTCCTAAAAAGGAAATCAACCCATACTAAAAACCCTATTTTACCCTCCCCAATTAAAAAAAAAACCTTTCTCATTCCCCTTCCCTTTTACCCGTCCGCAACCCTCTCTCTTTCTCATTTACTCCCACCCGCACCCCTCTCTCCCATTTACTCCCACCGCCTCCTCTTTCTCTGTCACTGCATCCGTCTCTCTCAATTACTCCAACCGTCTCTCGATCTCCCATTTACTTCCTCCATCTCCCCCTCTGTAAATCTATCTACCCTTCCGCCTCCCCCTCTCTCACATTTTTATGGATCTAAACCCTAATACTTTGAGTATGGAGAATATTGAACACTTCATCGTCCCTGACAGTGAAGAGGTTGTTCTTCCAGAAGAAGCGGTGGCGTTGGACACAGATGACCCTGTATTGGTACTCCATCCGAGGTGCATGGATCAGAACTCCCCGGCAGAGGATGCCATCCTCATCATCCCGGGCAGTGAAGAAGTGCTTCCCGAGGATGTAAGCGAGAAGCCTGCAGAGGTCTTGGGGGAGACGGTGGACCCAAATTGGCTTAAAAGACACAGAGACATTGACATGCATCCTATTCGGAGAAGTCCCCAACTGGAGGAATTCCTAAAAATAATTTTGCCAAAATGGGAAGCAAGGATGTGGGACGTGGACACGGATTGGGGGAGTTTCTTCTATACCTTATCTTCATTTATGGTTTAATTCGTACTATATGTCCATTGTGTGTAATTTGGGGGAAGCAATGATGAAAAATTGTTTTTTAATGTTTATTGTGATGCATGTGGGTTGTACATGGTGGTTTGGTATTATAAATAGTAGTTAGGCATACTGTGATGAAAGTATACCTTGTGTGTACTGGTCCTTTATGCATGTTGTCATGAAACTGTCCCTTTGCATACTGTGATGAAACTAGACCTTGTGTGTAATGGTTCTTTATGCATACTGTGATGAAAGTAGACCTTGTGTGTACTGGTTCTTTATGCATACTGTGATGAAAGTAGACCTTGTGTGTAATGGTTCTTTATGCATACTGTGATGAAAGTAGACCTTGTGTGTACTGTTTCTTTACTGCTATGATTGGTTCAATCTGAGTGGTATGATATGATGAAAGCATTAGGTTGTGATATGGTACTCTATGCATGTTATGATGACCATATGATAGTGTTTGGGTAGTTAATGCATACTGTGATGACCATGACCCTCTGATGTGGTATTTTATGCATATTATGATGAGCATATGAAAGTATTTTGGTAGTTTAAGCATACCGTGGTGACCATGATCATGTGATGTGGTACTTTATGCATACTATGATGACCATGATCCATGTGATATGGTACTTTATTCAGTACCATATGATGATCAGTACTTGTGTGTGGTATGTATGCTGATGTTGTAGTTATTCATAAGGTCTGAGTGTGTTGTTCTTGTCCCAAAATGATGAAATCATTATGACCATTGCTAGATCACTATGCTTCTACTATTACAAAATGTCTGAATATGCTTGTACTTCTACAAAAGGGCTGAGTATGCAGCATGTATTACAAAATGTCTGAGCATGTTAGTACTAATTCTAAATGTCTGTCTGTCCTGCAAAATTAAGGCTTGTACAAAAAACAAAAAAATTAAGGCCTATTATGTCTGAGCATGTACTTCATCACTGAAGATGATGATCATTATCATCTTCTTCAATTATGAAGTTCCCCTGACTTTCAATATCCCCTGTTTGTTGCCCTAGAAACTGTTCTGTTGCTTCCAATAATTGAACATCTACCTCAATTGTTTTTGGAAGCATCCGTTCTGACTGCATCCTATCCTTTGCATTGTGTGGTAGCTTGTAATTGTTGCCTCCTGCACTTTCTGAACTTCAATCATAACGTACTGATAGCTTAGCCAAACTTTGTTTAGAGTCATAAGTGATAGTTGTTTGAAAGCATCATCCACTGCATGTAACAGTTCATCCACTGTCTTGGGTGCATTCTGGTCTTTCAAAGATTGTATTGCCCTGCAAAACCATAGGTCTAGGATGGTAAGGTCTGGAGAATTGGGGGGCTGGTTAGTAAGGGTGATTGTAAACCCATCAGCCATGGAAGCACTCATATACTCTACATCATCATGTGAAATGTGTGGCCTTGCATTGTCTTGTTGTATTGTGATTTCTTTGCTTAACTGTGGAGGCCATTTTTCCTTGATTGCTGGGAGGATTGTGTTGATCAGCATGTCCTTGAACACTTTCTTTGTTATGCTAAGAATAGGCTTGGTTTCCATAACATCTGCATTTCTGTTTTTGCTTCTTCTTTTTGTTGCAAACTGTTCAACAAATGGAAACATGCCTATTTTTCCATCCCAAATAACCTCACCACTTTCTGAAAAAGGGGCCTACCCACTGCACCTAGGGACATGACCTTAGTTATGAACCTCTTTGATTTGCATACTCTGTGTGGATCAGCCTCTTCCAACCCCATGTATAATCTTTGAGATGTTTTTGTCATGAAAAACCATTTTTCATCAATGTGAATCACATTCTGAAATGTTTGAAAGGTAGGCTTCTATGGCACTGACTTCTCTATCTGATTAAGACAAAACTTCAATCTTTGCAATTTATTTGCATCACTTAGAAATGGCTTTATTGCATTTGTATGCCTTATGATCTTACCACTTTGAACCAATCTGTGGACACTTGACTTTGATATTGAGGTGGCAGCTGCCAAGGACCTTATGGTAGTCCTTTTATGCAGTGGGATATGTGATACCAGAGATAGATCAAATTCTATCCTTTTTCTGCCATAGTGCTTCCTACACACATTTAGGAGAAAATGAAGAAGAAGTTGCAGCTAAGATAAATCAAATTCTGGAGAAAATGAAGAAGAAGCTGTAGTTGTGGAAGATATTGCAGCCATGGAAGTTTTTTTTTGTTTTCAGTTTGCGTGTGTGTGCAGTGTCTGTAAGTGTGCGTGTGTGTGGAGTGTGTGATGGAAGTGTGTGTGTGTATGTAGGGAATTAGGAGGGAGTAGTATATGTAAGGAACCAAGGGAAAATCTCCCTCCTTTTTTTGGATTGCCGCCTCTGTATGAAACTTTTAGACAAATGTGAATAGTCTTTACTATTCACATGTCAATCAATCTACTTTTAATTATTTTCCCACTTTATTAATGTTTTTACCTCAAATTCTACCCATTCATTTACCCCATTCGGCCAAGGGTATAAGGGGAAAGTCAACCCCTTTATAAATTTGCATTAATTTGCGATACCGGTCAAAACCGAAAGAAATGACCGGGACAGAGAGAGTATATATTACTACGTATTATATTTATATAATATAACAAGTTATTTTCGAGCATTCAGAACATTTGGATTTTATACGGTCTGGGGCTAGTTCTGATGGAGATACTTCTTAGTAAAGAAATGATGTCATACCATATTGTACAAGAAAATCGGTTAGATTGGATACTGTATTATATTCTTTTGGTTCTTACGAGTATGTATGTTATGAATTTGAATAGTTCTTTAGTACACAATGAGAAATCTAATACTCCGTATCTGTACTTACTCCTATAAAATACTACCACAAGTTAAAAAATATGGCATGATAGGAGGATCCATAATGTTTAAAATTTTCTACTTTCTTCTCCAATTTGCTAAACTTTGTCCATTTTCTTTTTATCCTTTAATGTATTTAATTTGTGATTTCACTTTTTTTTTAATTTGTGATTTCACTTATTTATTTCTTTTCTACACAAATTTCAATAACGCTTTTTAACTTCTTTATTCCACTTATAAGTTTAAACTTACTACGGGTACTTTTCAAAGAGGTGAAACTACTACGAACTACAATAAACAGGCAAATTCTAAGTCAAAATGTACCAAAAGATAAAACAAGAAGACAAAAAAAAAAACTAAAATGAACTGCTTAGAGTATGTTATTGTCATCATGAAACTTTCTTGCCTCGTTCGATATTATATACATTAAACATAATAATGCAAGCTTAAAATAATTACTGATATTTATGCAATAAAAATATCACTGTTGTTTTGAAAATTTCAAATATATTGTATGCTACTCCATATTTATACTTCCTCCATTCTTAAATAAATGCAACGGTCAACATTTCACACTTGTCGAGACACAACTTTGACAATTAATATAAATGATTTTGTATTAGTAAAAAAATTAGATTATGAAAATTTATAATGAGACAAGTTTAACATTTTTTTTTTCATAAAATAATATTATTAAATTAATAAATAAAACGTAGTCAAAGTAGAACATGTGAGTAATGTAAAAGTCAAACTGTTGCATTTATTGAAGAACGGGGAGATAAGTATTATTTATTTTTAGTTAATTGTAAACAATAGTATGCTCTAACAAGATTTGTTTTAGATATGGGAGGTAGAGGGAAGTGACTTCCTCACCCATTATTGTCCAATCACATCCTTCCTTTGTATTTTGCCCACTCATTCCTTATCTCACTAGTCTACTCACCATACTCTGTTCCATATCTCCTCCTCTAATCCTTCTTGCTTCTCAACTTTTGATTATAACCTCTCCCCTCTGATCTCAGAGCTTCTCAAAAACAAACAAATCCAACAATGGCTACTAATCCATTAAAGTCCATTAACCACCACCATCACTGCCACCCATTCACATTAAGGCGTCATCCCCTGTCTGACTCCTCCTCCTTCCTCAAACCCACCACCAGAACCGCCGGAGCCGTCTCCTCCGCCGCCCTTCCGCGCGGCATTTTCAACTTCAACCTTTCCCCCGCCACTCCAACGACTACAGTCACGCCGCCCTCCCCCCCGCCCCAAACCTCCGTGTCCTACGACCTCCTGGAGCGCCACCTCGCCGCCCAGAACTTCCGGCAGGCGGACGAGGAGACCCGACGGCTGCTCATCGCCCTCGCCGGCGACGCCGCACAGGAGCGCGGGTACGTGTTCTTCTCAGAGGTCCAGTTCATCCCGGACTCCGACCTCCGGCAAATCGATTCCCTCTGGCGGAAACACAGCAATGGCAGATTCGGGTACAGCGTGCAGAAGAAAATCTGGAAGAAAGTGAACGGGGACTTCACGGATCTGTTCAAGAAGATCGGATGGATGAAGAAGCTGGAGACTGAGATTGAACAGTACAATTACCGGGCGTTTCCGGACGAGTTCAATTGGGAGCTCGGCGACGAGGTGCCGGAAGGGCATTTGCCGTTGACGAACGCGCTGAGAGGGGTCCAGCTTCTGAGCTACATTCTGAAGCACCCGGCTTTTGAGGAGGAAGAAGAAGAAGGAAATAATTTGAGTAGTGTAAATTCTGCTGCAAGTGAAGGAGGGATAGGTTTGGGGTTGAAGAAGATATCGACGTTTAAACCGGATTACAGCTTTTGATGACGAAGATGTAAATGAGTTTATAATCTTTATAATCTGTTCGTTTGTTTAAAATCTTCTTCTTCGAGTAGGATTAATTAATAGAACCACCTCCCATAGTGGAATATCGAAAAAATACAGTGTTATATTATAATGAATCATTCAAGGAAGTTGATAGATTAATTGCATTATTTATTATTACCTCCCTCGACTTTGCACTCCTTAAATTAGGTGAGAAATAAGAATAGTAAAAATTATGTGGTTCAAGTTTATGCAGAGGAGAGAGAAATGAGTAGAATCACAAAATAATTACCCCCTCCGTCCCTAATCTTTCTCCCTTTTCGGCTGGGCACATTTATTAAGATAGTGGGATTTGTGTGGTGGAGAGTTGTGCAGAGGAGAGAGAAATGTGTAAGAATGTGTAAGAATGGTTGTGAACCACAAATTTTTTGCTAAAAGGGGGAAGATGAGATAATTTTGGGACGGACGAAAAAAGAAAGTTTGAAAATAATTTAGGGACGGAGGGAGTACTTTAATGGGAAAGTACTTTAATGGGAAAGTAGTAAAGTTTTTTGGGACAACCAAAAAATGAAAGATGTCAAAGTCCAGTGGAACGGAGGGAGTATAAATTGTCTTTTTAAATCAACAAAATAAATGGTGCACAAATAGAAATTTTTATCTAAATATCTTCTCATTTTGTTTCCCATACCGGAAGTATAAAAGGCATTAGTAACATTTTATAATTTTGCTTCAAACTCTTTTGTACAAGACCTTTAGGGAAAGGATGCCAATTAGAGGGGCTAGATATCCAATCATCTTCGTGTTGTTGATGATTAAATTAAAAGTAATTGAATAATGACCAATCCGAGGTGATCGGATATCTTGACATTCTGAAGGGAAATTTTTGCACTTTTAAATGTTTTGGTTTCATTAATTAAAATTTACACTTTTATCATCACTTCAAATTATTTTATTTATGGTATTTCCACAAATATATTTAGATAAACATTGTACTTGTTATATTAAAGTGCAAAGATAATAAATGAGTCGATTGCTGGCATTGTTTCATCACTTCAATTGGTGATTATAATTGTAATGATATACTAGTAATAATTTATTGTAATTACTATATCTAATCCATTTTCTTCATTTATTATATCGTCACATATATTTTGTTACTCTACTTTTAAATTACTTTTTGTTTGAAACAAAATTAATTAATAAATCTAAGCTTGAAAATCAAATGATTCAGCTTCAAAGCTAACTACTTTAAAAGTCACTAATTAATTTTTTTCAATTTTCTCATTTCACAAGCTCAAGTATTATTTTATTCTTCTTCTAAAGTAAAAATTATGTTGATGAATATGAAATCATTTAACTTGCAATGATAACCGATGATCCCTTGCTAGTCAGTTCGTATACAGTGCAACCGGCGCACCTTGAGCATCATGTTCCACTCCCAAAATCGGTACCGTTTTGCTTTAAAAATAATTAAAATGCTCCTCCCCACTCTATCTGGGACCAGAATTTCAGAATAATAGGCCTGATCATTACTCGCGTTTCGTTCTCTGCTCTACCTTGGCTCTGTCCGCAGATCATCATCCAAGCCCGCCGTCGCCCTCCCTAAGTTCCAATCGTGTGGTTGCAGTCTGGAGTTGAAGCGTCGTCGTAGCTGGTCTCCTAGAATCATCGAAGAAGGACTTGAAGGGCATGGAACCCGCTCCAGCCATTCTGTTAGTAGATGTCCTAGTCTTGGTGTTTTGACGACATGATGGCCTCTTTATTGTAGCCAGAGTTGCTGCCTGATGCTGTTTATTTATTCATCTTGCCCAACAAAATTAAAAAACATCTCAGCATACACACACACATATTATACAACTTACATTTTTGTATATCAAACTACATATAATTAAGGTTAAAATATACTCTGTGTAATCCTATATCCTACGTTACATTTCATAATACGTTGAGTTATATCTTTTCATAAACGAGTTACATCATCTTTTTATACGTGAGTTACATTTGTATACACCTAAATTACATTTGCCGTCTACGTGAGTTACATTTGTAATAACATGAGTTACACCAAAAATCAACCCCTACTATTAAAACAAAAAAAAAAACTTTTTAAAAACATTTTTATGGTCATGATATTAAAAACAAAACATATTCACAATTTACGTAAAGTAATTGTGCAATAAGACTCTTTTTTTCATGGTTTACATTGAAATTAATGTTTTATTTCTTATACTATGTATTTGACAAGTTACATTTCAACTGAACTTGAGTTACATTGATCAATAACGTGAGTTACATTTCTTTGCACGCGAGTTACATGTTTTATTTTTAATATTAGGGCAATAAAAATGATATAGTTGGAGTTTATTCCGTGATGTAACTCGCATACATTAAGATGTAACTCGTGTATATTAAGATGTAACTCCCGTTCATTAAGATGTAACTTGCGCAGAAGAAGATGTAATTTCACTATATATTATCAAATGTAACTTCAAGAATCAACATGGGTATGAATATGAAATAAAATTATTTTATTTTGATCAATACAATGTGTGTGTGTGAATTGGAAGAATATTGATTTTTCTCTTTAAAAAAGTGAATATTGATTTCTGGATCACGGGTAATTATACCAATACTTAAAATCACTACTACATTTTCAGGGCTAATGTAACAAAAAATTTAACATTTGTTTAAAATGTTACAAAAAGCCAATCTAATGTAATAGTTTTCGACGCATTTGTTGGTCCCGGTTATACTGGATACAGTCTAGAGGGGGGTGAATAGACTGTATTGGTTTTTAGCTTTTTAAACTAAGTACCAGATTTACAGAATAGCCTGTTCTGTTGAAAGAACAGACTGGCAGCGGATGGGGTTCTGGCAGTGAGTTCTGTTAGCCTCAGAAAAGCAAAGGCAGTAGGCCTTCTGTTAACTCGTAGAACAAGTTCTGCTGAACACAGATACCAAGTCCAAGGAGTTATACAGTTCTAGCTAAGTGCAAGTATTAAAAGCAGTAAGTAAACGACACCGGGGATTTTTATAGTGGTTCAAGGAACAACTCGTTCCTCTAATCCACTGTTCCACTAAGCTGTAAAAACTGCCGTTTACAAAGCCTTAGTCCTAGTACTTAAGAAGCACTCCACGTCTTCTTCAAGCCTAGATGTGTCCTGGGATGCACTGCCTGGCTTCCTTTAACACTGTTCCTTTCACTGAGTTTCCTTGAAGTACCACCACTTCACCACTCCAGTTATTTGGACGTCCTTCTTGGAGCAAGAAGAGTTTCTGTTGAAACTGGGGTTCCTCCAACTAGCTTCGTTACAAAATATTTGTATGTGATGAGCTTGAAGAGTTGAAGAACACTTGGAACTTTGCTTGAGTTGGAAAGAGTATATTTCCAACTTCTGCCTTCTCTTGTAGAAGATAATGAGTTTGAATCTCAAGGAGGCTTTTTGCTTTTCAGAGTTTGAATATCTTGCTTGAAGAGTTGTAGCAAAGGTTAGCAAAAGTTGCAAAGTTATCCGGTTGTTCTTCGTAGTGTATCTTTTATACTGAGGTTGTCTTCCCATTGGAGGAGTAGGAGGACAACTGCATTTAATGCGCGATCAGTTGACTTGACTAGTAGAGCCCGATAAAGTTGGCGGGTTACTATTTTGGGATAAAGTATTCCTCACATTCCGGCCAATCATCTGCAATTACTCTACGCAGCATGGGGTGCATTAAATGAGCATTTAATGCATGCACTGTAGCTTTTCCGTTTCATACTCCTAGCCGTTGAAGGAATCTTTTAGTTGACTTCCCGATTCTTAGAAAATCTTCTAAGTGTCAGACCTTCTGGTGTCTTTGTCTGAGAGTAGAACAGAGGAGGTCTGGAGCACTTCTGTTGAGAGTATATCCAACAGAGACCCAGAAGGGTTTCTGTCAGAGTCAAGACTAACAGAGATCCTGAGGACGTCTGTTCTGGAGCAGAGAACCAAAGGTCCTCTGTTTCAATAATGCCTTAAGAGGCACTTCTGCTCTTGAAGTCCTTCTGCTCTGAAGGCATTCTGCTCTTGAAGGTCTTCTGTCAAGTCGAATACATCTAAGAACTTTACAAAGAAAATTCTAATACAAAATTTCTAAAGGGGTACTTCTAAAGTCCTAATTAATCTAGCATCATCAAAATCTAATTACAATTATTCCTTACAACATTGTTACATATATGTCAAAAGCATTACGTTTAATCTATTCCCGATGTAACACGTGTGTACCGTTCAATAAGCCATTACATTTGTTTAATGAGAGTTACATTTGGTAGGTCCAAATGTAACAGTGCATACGGAATATACTAAAATGGGAATAAAAAGCGGTAAAATTGAGCGCCACATAATTTTCACAGAAATTTCAGCCCAACTATAAACTTATGCTGGAGGGAAAAAACCCTAAAAGCAAAATCTAAAAGCAATTGAACCACAAATCTGGTAGATCTGGCAAACAATTTACCTCTTCACCATCCGAGTTATAGAGATCGAGAAGAGATACTCGTGTGTTGTTTCCCTTCTGAATACACATCGACAAAAGAAGTTCTTCAAGCATGCCAAAGGATGCTCACCCTAACGCTACATCTTCAATTTACCTCGCTATCTGACATGGAACATCTTGGTCGAGACTCAGCGAGAGGTATTAAACTAGATTGTTCGAAATGAAATTTACACTTAGATCTTGGGATTTAAACTATTGGACGTGAGCCTTATCCCTTGCCGTATTTGGAAGCACCAGCGGAAGTAGGGAGGGACAAGCAGGTGTTGCAGACCCTTCTCGGAGAAACCAGGGCAGATATAAGGGTTAATAATATGGCGCCCTAGGAGCTTTGATTGTCTTCTTCTATGGTTTGCTGATTACCACGGTTATCTTCTTTGCTGCAGAACGACATGGGTTAATAGAGCTCAGACTTTGATTCATACGGTGTGGGTATGTAAAAATTCTACAGTTAGCATTAAAATTTTGACTTAGATCTGGATAAATCTATATTACTTGCCAAAGAAATTTCTTTGGCAAGTAATGAACCTTGGTCCTATACAACAATCTCAGTGATTCTGGGATTAATAAATCTGAAACTATCTAGATTATGAACTTATGTTGGAAGTTCCAATTTCACCTCTATATGATAATTCATATGTGAAATTGCAACTGAAAATCATTTATGTCTAAAATGCATAACTAAAA